TATGTTTAAAATTAAAAATAAACGGAAAAATTACATGTTCAAATTTATATAGTTGTAGTCCCAATAGTTTATGTACTTGAAATGGCTTTAGGCCACTTGCTGCTCTAGTTCCCCCCCCCCCCCCCCCCCCCCCTCACTCTGCCTACCACCAGCGTGCTCCTCATGGACCGAGGAGTGTGCACGTTCGCGTCCAAAGCTCTAAGAGCTAACGCGGCCGGGGCGGCCGCTGCCGTCGTGGTGCAGACGCACGACGTCTGGCCGTACGTGATGGAGGACTCCAAGGGAGAGGCTGAGGCCGGGGGAGGGCTCAACATTCCCGTGTGCATGGTCAGCAAGGAGAAGGGTGAGTTTTTTTGTTTTTTTTTGGCGCAGTCGCACGCAAGCGAACCAACTACCCAATACCTTCTTCCTTCTGCACCAGCCCAGAACAACATGCAGATAGATGCACAAGACGGCCACCAAACTGTCTGTTGAGCCTGTTACCCACAGGGGAGATATCGCTGTGTGCTGCTCGGGAAATCGTGGAAATACAGGTAGCCTCTGCTGACCCTATGGATTCATTGCTAATCTATCTAAGACTCTTTTCTAAAAATACAGATGGATTCGTTGGGCCATATTAAGAAAAGAAAATATGTGTATGTAGTGACGGGCAAATATCACCGCGGGGAAGCGGGACACCGCACTATTGAGTGTTTTGGAATATATATAGCTTTTAGTGCAAGTAGCCAAATCCGTGACAAGCGATTATTTCCGCGGTGTGTCGGGACCCGCACTACTCGGAACCGCGGTACGGTATATCGGGACAACAACTATAATTACTGCTGTTGTTTTCTTACTCGCGACGCCCTTATGTTCTCGTCGTGATGTGTAGGCTCGCCCCCCCCCTCTGCTGAACCCTTTCTTTTGGAGTAGGCCCTTTTGCGCTTTGGTGACTTTGACCTTGATGGTTGCTCGGTGGTGCGTTCTGTTCATTTTGGCCGAGTCCCGAAGTTCAACCGAGCTCCCTTTTTTTGCACAAAGCCTGGGCGGAACCGGCACGGCGGTGTGTGGCATTAACCCAACCGCACATGCTCAATTTTTCGGACGGAGGAGGATGCACACGGTCTTCTTGCCCCTGATCCATCGCACGCCTCATAGTATTTCATCGCTTACTGCCCCGCTACGGCGGTGGTCTCCTTCCCCTCCCACCCCGCTACGGCCTACCCCGTTCTTGGCGCCATTTCTTTTGCGTCTTGTGCACCCACGATCGCTCAAGCGCGGTGTGTGCTGCTAGTCTTGCTGCTCTCTGTTTGCTTGCGCCTTCCACCTCCTCCATTTGTTGTGGTCTTGCTGCCGTCACTTTTCGATTTTCTATCAATTTTCTCGGCGGCAAGTCTTGATTTCTTGGGGAGTGTGGCACCGTCTACGTTCGTGTCACCTTCTGACTCTCGTGGCATATTAAGATTTGTTTGTGATCACACCCGTAACATCAGCAGCGCGTACTGCTGTATCCGCAAAGCAGGCGAGGCGATCAAGGCGGCGGTGGTTCGGTCAGCGGCGGAGGGAAAGACTATCCGCGCGGAGCTCTCCGTGTCCTCCTCAGAGAAGGTACAGAACAGTGTCAGCCGCGGCACGTTTGCCTCGACGATGCAAGTAGTTCAGAGAAACAGACTTAGCCACACGCGGCTTTGGACTGGCATCTCTGTACTAGTTATCGCTCGTTTGCCGCGGGCAAGTCGTGGCACGTTTCCCTGGCCGTCAGCAGGAACCCATGAAAGTGGTCATTTTACGTTGCTTTCTCCTCTGTTGTTGTTGTTGTTGTTGTTGTTGTTGTCTTGACATTAAAAACCGTTCCGTTCTCTCTGCCCAGTACCTTGTTCTGTCCGTACTAGTCGAACACTTTGGTTTAGAGTAATTGTAGTCATGAGTGTGGCGGGTGTTGTCGGCACTGTTGTTACGAAAGGGTATGCATGAATCCCCACCCACCCCCCTCTTCTTCGCTGCCTCTGTTTTTACCTCGGACCCCCCCCCGCTTCCTTTTGTTTTTCTTTCTCGTGTGCAGGATTGCATCGTGTGCCAGGAACTGTACGCTGTCGGCAATACCCTTGTCCGCCTACCGTGCGGCCACCTCTACCACGAGGTGATCAGTTCTTCTTCTGTTGTTCTTTTCTTGCCTGGCTCGGTTGCTGGGGAGAAGTGTGTGATTCTTGGATCTCTAATTGGCATTGGTCGCGCTAATCGGCTGACCAACGAAAATACATGACTACTCAGCGCGCCTGTGTGTGTCTGAGTGCGTGCCCTAGGCCCTTTACCCGCTGGGTTTTCCCCGTCGCCGTTAGTCCACGACGGCCGCACCGCACCGATGTTTGCTTCGCCACCACATGCCGTGAATCGCCCTACCACCGGGCGCTTACTACGTTAGCTGTCAAAGTACCCCCCCCCCCCCCCCGGGGTCCAGGGTGTTACCGCTAAGGCATGCACAACATGAGTACACCCCCCCCTGTCTCCCTATTTTTCCCCCGACGCACGCAGGCTTGCTTGTTGAAGTGGCTGAAACTGAGCAACACTTGCCCGTACTGCCGGAGAGAGCTGCCCTCCTCCAACGAGGCCGTCGAGAGAGCAAGGAGGAGCAGGCAGGCTGCGGGAGGAGCGGGAGGGGAGGAAGAGGCCTGGAGGACGTTCTTCGACTAGGCGCTTCAACACAAGAGCAAAAATTAGTTAGCCTTAAAATGTCCGTCCCACAGCATCACCTGCAAGATCTCGCTGGCGGGATGGGCCGGAGAGCAAGAGATGAATGAATCTTGGTACTTGGAAGTGTGTGTTTCGTTACTTGTTTGTTTATTTTGTGACTTGTGTACTGCCGTGCTCTGCCGTGTACGTTCTGTAGTCTTGCATGTTGTCGTAGATCCGTTCTTCCGCCGGTTTCGCCTTCCTCCGAGGGGTGATCGAATCCGCCCGAATCGAAACCCTGGTTGGTTTCCGGAACGAGAGAGGATTCTATATACCGACCGCTCTTCTGTGATTGTCCATGTGTCCATCCATCTTGTTGACTTGTCTGTGTGTCTGTCAAGGGGTTGAATTTCATTGGTTTATTTGTCACAGTCCGCCACCTTCTATCATCGGTGCTGCGTGTGTTTCCCTCCGTCTTGCTCGAGGGTCAACCAAGGGTCGGAAAGAAAAAAGCAACCTCGACCACACCACACTACATCGATTTCGCCTTCGTTTTGTTCAAGTTGGTGGGAGGCCGAAGAGGATAAAATTCGGGACCTGTGTTGGCTCTATGTGTTTTGTCATTAGGTCGCCTGACGAGTCCCAGAGTTGTTAAGTCGTTTCCGTCGTTAAAGCTTTTCTGTTTGGTTGTCTGACGGGACAGCTTGTACTCATTCATGGGTCACGTTTTTTTTTTTTTTTTCATCTCCTGGCAGAACTGATGAGCTGTCGCGCACGCTGCTCACCCATATGTGGCTGAGTATTCAAGTGCTTGTGGTCATACACCTTTGATAACTTCGGCCCGGGGAGGGCGGGGGGGGGGGCGTTATCGTGTTTTGCATGCCTGGGGGGAGGGGAGGGGGGCGGGGGAGGGGTGTTTCCGTGGATCTTGTTTTTGCGTCATGTTCAAGGAAGCGAAATTCGTAGGAGAATCTCGGCAACCTAGAAAAACAGGTATGTCTCTGCTTGCTTTTGTTCTTTTGTGTAGGGGGTCTACAAGGGTTAGGCAACAGAGCAGGGGGGGAGCGCGGATGAGACTTGGGGATTGCGGGGTTGTTTGCTAGCTCTTGGTAAAACAAGGGAGCACTAGCGCATACCTGCTGTAAGAGCGGTGTAGTTAAGAGTGCATTGAGGTGTGCTGTGCTGTCAAGACCCCTCTCCCGCTCCTCCGCAGTGTATCTCCGAAAATGTCCTCGTTGCTTTTTCTCAATTTTCGCGTCTCATTTTTATCTTGTCGCACTTTTTGCTGGTGCTCTGAGCCCTGCATGATGCAGCACATGGTAGGATTTGACTGTTGTGCCAAGAAGCAGTGGAAGTGCTATGCCACCAAGTGGAAATAAACACTTGGAAGTAGTCGGTAGCAAACCGAGTGTGGGCCCTTCCGACATCGCCGACCCGGCGTGCTGTTATAAATGGCAGGAGATTTCGTATGTTTGCCGCCGTAGCCTGCAAATATTTTGGCTTTTTTGGCTGGGGAGTACTATACAAGCTGTACACGAAGTTGCTCCTGCAGGTAGGCAGGACTGATGGTGTGTGTGTACAGGGTACTTTGGAGCTTGTGGACAGGCTCGTGTGCCATAATGGTGAGGAAAATCAGAGCTTGCGGGGTAGCCTTTCCGGATGCTGTGTGTGTGGAGCACGCGGGGAGTTGGAAGAGGTTTGATTGTAGAAAGTTGTGGCTTTCCTTTTGTGTGTGTGTGGGTGGCGGTATCATTTTTGGTTCATTTCTGCGTGCTTGTGCCGCGCCGACGGTTTTTCGAGCATTACATGGAGGATTGAAAAACTCATTATGTTTTGCGGATACAGCGAGTTTTATTTTCCAAGACGCCTGCATGTTGCACGCTGTATGTGTTTGTTCGACGGCCAACGCTCGAGCGCTGTTGCGTAAGTAAGAATAGCTCGTTGTACCTCAGTCGCTCACTTTTTTTCTTCACTCGATCATAGTGTAGAAGCGTACGAACGTAACTTTCAGTTGTTGCGGCAAAACGACGTTCGCCTTTTCTTGTGTGAGCACTGGAAGTATCTTGGGGTAAGAAACGTGTTGGTGACCTTCCACCTTTTTCTTCCAGTTTTATGTCTCCCTACGGTCTGCATGTGTGTACTCTCCGACTTGATTCTTCCGCTTCTGTTGCCGAAAGTTAGGGTCGACGCTGCCTAAGCACGTGAACGATGGCCCTCGAGCTTTCGCTGCGAGAATTAATTTTTGCCCATTCCCTTGGTATATGCATGAGACAGGAGTGTTAAATTTTCATGGCGTTCCGTAGCTTCGAAGGGGGGGGTTGGGGGGGGGGGGGATCAATGCCCCAAATCCGTTGCACAAATTGTATTCTTTCAGCACGCGTGCCGGAGAGTGTGGCGTCGTTTTTCTCTCGCCCGCGAGAGCTTGATTTGAAAGAACGGTGTCGCGATGGGTGCTTTTGTATTCGGGTGTATGCTCTCCGTAGGTAGGAATGGAGCACGACGAGTGGACGGTAGCTCGTGGCGTTCCTCCCGAACTTCGCACACTCGTTCACTCGTTTTGTTTCAATGTTGAAACACGGGGCGGGGGTGCATAGAACAATGCAATGATGGCCGTCGGTAACTTGTTCTCTTGTTGTGTTTGATTCGGTTGGTTGAGCGCCATGCAAGAAGAAGACATATTTTTGTCCAACCGTTGCCACGACACGAACTGGAAAACGTCCTTGGCTTCTGTTTGTATGGCCTGTTCCCCGCGGTACATGACGACCGACTTGCCTATGGCATCCACTGCCCGGGTCAGAAGTAAAGGGGGTCGCGGGTTCTGCGTCTGCCACAACAGTCCCTCCCGGGGACCGGTTCCTGTGCTGACTGTGTTAACTTGCGCTTCGGAAAGAAGTTGCGGTGACGGTCGAGCGAAGCCGTAGTAACAGTAGCCTTACAGCGGATACGGACTGCCCTCGAATCTATCTGTCTGTGCATTCCCAGCGGTCATCGAGTGCTACGTCGACGCGGCTCAACGGATAGATAGGTCGGGATTTAATGATGTGAAGAGGGCACACAGCAATGAACACGGCAAGAATACTTCGGCCGACTGCCATGATCGGGTAATAATGCCTGTGTTTTGTAGTTGTCCGGGAGGTCTTTCTTACCAACAAACCTCATCCGAGCACCAATCGTACTTCGCGAATGTAGTGAAAAGATTAGGGCAGGGAGAAGGGGGGGCGGGACCTTGCTTTACCTTTCCCTTACTACAGTACATCGATCTCCTCGTTCACTTCATTTTAAAAACTACAGCACAGCAGTAGACAACTGGTCAGCTAAGCTACGCGGTCGTCGTCTGTTTTGTTCTCCAGAGCGTTGTTCTTGTTTGCTCCATCATGCAGTCGTTCAACCAATACCTACCTTCCTTGTCTTACGCATACCCAATCCCACGACCTTTAAAAAAATAAGTCCACGTTTCGTGAGTAGTCTACGCAACGCGGACCCTTTAACATATATATATATATTTTGTTTTCTTAATATGACACAACGAATCCATCTCTATCATAGAAAAGAGTCTGAGACAGGTTAGCAATGAATTCATAGCGTCAGAAAGTACCTGTAATTAAAGCATGACAGAGTATGACCCAACGAATCCATCTCTATTTTGTCCCTTCACTTCATGTTGTATGAGCGTGTTGAACATGAAGAGGAACAATCGAGAGGATGAGTTTTCTGCGCGACCAGAAGCCAGGGCTATTCAGTGCAGACAACAGGACGTGCATTGAATATTGAACGGGCGGCTGGAAAGTGTGGATGGCCGTTTATTGGAATCAACACAGGCGACGAACGGCAATGGAATTTGCTCCTGTGTATGGCGTGCCCCCCGTCCCCTCGTTTTCTCGGTGGTGGGCCCCCCACCTCGTGAGGCAGGCCCAGGACAGTGGAGCAGCAGCAGGTCCAGGCCAGGCCGTAGTAGGTGCAAAGAGGAGAGAGCTGTGCATGGGGCGTGTTCTTCTCGCCATCGACTTTGCCGTTGCCGCTGAGCAGTGATTCTCTTCCCCGAGATTCCGGGTCGTGAGGCGTGTTCGAGGTAAGCATGTTTGCATACCCCCAGTCGCGACTTCTCGCTCACGGCTGGCTATAATGTTCGCGGTTCGGATATCCAGAGGCAGAGACATTGAGGCCACTCAACGGCACCATGGGAGCGTGGAAGCACAGCGTTTCGTTGTCTTGTTAGAACTGCTTCCAGTTTTCATAGAGCAACAACGGCCGTAGCAACGGGCAACGAATACAGAAAAAGCAACATGGGCAAAATATCCAGTTGACATGATACACTCGCAAATTGTCGCAATCTGAATTTTTCGCACCCTTGAGGCTCACTCTGTGTACCCCCGACGTCAGGTGTATCCAGGTCTACTTATAAAATAATTGGGTGAGGTCTGCGTGTGGAGGCTTGCCACGTGGCTAGCAATGTCCAGTTTCCAGGCTAGGGCACATGCTCCAGAGGCGGCGCCTGTTTCACTGCATGTCGCCGCGTAATTTAGCCGCGCACCAAATCTCGCCGCTTGTGGATATATACCGAACGGCCGTCCCGGCCCTCCCCGAACTTTGCCTCGGCAGGATACAGACGGCACAAAGCACCGGAGTCTGTGTGAACCACCGCTTCCACAACTGCAGCAGAAAAACACGGCTGTAATTTGCAGAAGAGAAAAAGACGGGCGCGTTCGTTCCAGTAGACCCGCCGCAAACATGACCAACTTCTCGCTACAGGCGGACATGCGGCGGGCCAAGGACAGGTGCCCCGCCTGCGCCAGGCAGCAACTCCACATCGAGAACGGCCAGTACGTGCCCGGCGACGAGGTGAAGGGCCAGCTGTACACCACGCGGCGCGGCGGGGGAAGCAGCAGGCGCGCGCGGGCGGCGGCGGCTTCTCGAGGAGGAGGAGGAGGAGGGGGCACCAGTAGTAGTAGCAGCAGCAGCGGCAGCAACGCGTACAACGCGCTGGCTCAGCACGAGATCCGCCCGGAAGAGATCGTTTGCACCCACTGTCTTTGCTCCAACGAGAACCACGAGGACACGGGGCCGAACGGGCAGAGGTGTTGCGGGGGCTTGAGGGAGGGGCTGTGGGACAGGGTCTGCGAGCTGTGCAAGGCCTCGGAGAGCTGCAGGGCCTGGGCCAGGGCGAGAGCTTGCCCGGCCGAGGAGGCGGGCCGGGCGCCGGGGGAGCCTAATCACGCCGGCAATTCCACGGGCGAGAAGCCGTGCAAGACCGAGGGGAGGGCGAACTTCTGCATGCACTGCACGTGCCCGTGCGCCCAAGTCCATCCGCACACGTTCGAGGATAAGAGCAACTGGATGTCAACGTGCGTGTGACGTTCCACGTAGTAGGAGTCTCCTGTGGAGTCATGTGCCTCCTACAGTACAGCCTTGTATCACGTGATCCCGGGCCACCGCTGGTGACATCAGTGATTGCTCGGTGTAAACCATAGCGCAATGCCTCGCGCTGTTGAACACGCGGTTGTAGCAACAACAATTGTAGGTGCTGCATACACTACCTGTGCCAGCAAGGGTTTGACTTTCGCCCGCGGTCTTGCGGAAGAGAATCGCATCACCTCAAGCAAGAAAACATGTAGATTCGAGGATGTTTTTCTGGTCGTGCCTGCTTTCGACACTAGCCCACTGCTGTATTGCTTGTGTCTTGGTCAATCTGGTAGAGCCGAGTCACCAGAGGGCTTGCTTCTACCGACATATGTTCATACTTTATCGCGAGGAAGGTTGGAAATCCGTTTTCCGATGCTACCAGCTGCCCGACTTGTCTGTCATGCTCGCTACTTTCCTTGTTCGGCTCGGTGACTCGTGTTGCAACTCGGGCCGCGCCTCCCGCCCATTCCGACATCCCGACCCATGTCTCCGCCGGCGAAACCCGGCACCTCACATGTTTTTTTATCACGCTCAAGGAAGCGACAACACTACCTGTCTTGTCGTTTGGCTTTAGAGTCACCGAGTCTCCCCCCGCCCGCATACCGTCCCCAAAGCCTGCTTGCTGCGCAACAAATATGCAAACGCGTTTGCGACGTGGCGAAACTCTTGTGTGTGCAGCAACCCCGAGGTTCAGCGAGCGTGCCGCATCTGCTTGCCCTGCTGGGCGGGGTGGTGCATCCCGCTGTCTGGGACAAAGCGCAAGCTCGTAGGCGCGACCATGGAGCCCGAGGAGCCTTTCGCGCGGCAGTGGAGACCCGGCCGAGACGCCGACGGTGAGCTTTGTCATCCGCATGTAAATTTGGTTCTATCAATGTTCGTCATCACGTTTTTCTCGGTATTGTCGTTGTCGTTGTGCTTGTATTGGTAGTGGTCATGGTGAGCGTTGTGGTTTTCGCGTATTATGATCGCGGAACCTGCACGTGAAATTTGTTCATCAATGTTCGTCGTCACGTTTCTCGATGTGTCGTTGTCTCTGTGCTTGCTAACATTGGTGGTGGTGATGTTGTTGTGGCTGTTTACGTATTTACCCGGAATCTACGGCAACGACAGGCGCAACATACACGCCAGAAGGAACCCGCTTACAAGCAACAGATTGCACCGTACACACAAAGGGGCCCACAGAGGTGGTCTGCCTCCTTTTCGAAGTCGCTCCATGTGCGTTGCCGCCGGTCCTCAACATAGGTCTCTTCACCTCTGACCGTTCCTCCCCTGAACCCCCCCCCCCTTCCGTAACAAACAAACGACAGTGTTCGTCCTGACGGGCCTCTTCGACGAGCTCACCGGTCTCCTTCCCGAGAACGGGTTCCCGTACGCCGTGTTCGGCTCCTCCCTGCGCTACTTCAAGGGCCTGATCGGGAGCGCGGAGGCCAAGCACGCGCTGAAGGAGGCCGGCGTGACCCCCGGCGACCGCAGCGGCGCGATCGGCGAGGCGTGGAGCGGGGGCGGCTCCATGTACCCGCCGGAGCGGCCCGCCGGAGCGCGGAAGGTCGTGGCAGCGCCGCTGCGCCAGGGGGAGGTGAGAATAAACAGAGCTAGAAAAGCTTGGTCGATTCAACCATCTGCCCCAAGTACTCAATGAAGCCTAACGGGTAGTCTTTCTGTGATTGTAGTGTTTTTTGTATTGTCTTAAGAGTCTTCCACACATGTTTGCCACACGCAAAAAATGCGACATCAGCCCGTCCGCTTGCGTACAACTCTTCGACTCTCCTTCTCGCATTAAAAATCGAAGGCAACGTACCGCAGGAGGGGAGGGTAGAGAGGGGCTCTTCTGTGTGACCACGGGTTGGAGTAAACGGCACTAGTGCTGTGAGCGCTGATTTGAAGTGAACAACTATACAATAATCGCCCGCATTTGATAACCTCTAGTTTTGGCACAGCCTGGGGTTCTTAGTTCCTAGGGTCATAGTACTATATAAATAGACTAAGTTTTAGTGTAGGGGTTATTTAACCGAGCTCAAAAATGGCGCTCAAGTTCTTACGTTTTGAGTTTTTAAGGCTCTATCAATCACTTGACTACCGAAGTTCTTACGGGCGGGCGCGTTCTACATTCTCTTACAATACCTGCAAATATTTGTTCTCTTCCAGGGCGCAAATAGGCACTTCTCCAGGGTGCACGGCAGGCGGGACCACAACTGGCAGTGGGACATGCTTAAGAGCCCGTGGTCGCTCGGGCTGATGGCGAAGGGGAGGCTCGCCCTCGGGGTCTCCGAGGAGGAGGCGAACGAGTTCGAGGAGGCGGGGATCATCGCGTTCCCGGGGCACGTGGTGAAGCACAAGGACTCGGTGAAGAACGGCGGGTACGGGAAGACGATCGGGACGCTGGTGCTGAGGTCTCCAGAGTCGGCGTTCGTCTGCGTGCAGGTTTGTTTGTGTGAGGGAGAGGAAGAGGGAGAGAGAGAGAGAGAGAGAGAGAGAGAGAGAGAGAGAGAGAGAGAGAGAGAGAGAGAGAGAGAAATAACCCCGAATGCTTCATAGCAGAGAGAGAGAGAGAGAGAGACAGACAGACAGACAGACAGACAGAGAGAGGACCCCAAAAGCTTCATCGCAAGTAAGGCGGAGCTCTCAGCTGGCGACACAGCACGGATGTTGCAGCCAAGATTTGCAAGTATTTCCAGGTATATACAACAGCCTGGCTAGCCAACTAGCTCCTTCTTCACGATCGGGCTCCAGAAACACCTGCACGACCCCCCCCCCCCCCCCCCCTTTACACCACGGGACGAGCTGAAAAAAAATCTAAGGGGCAAGGGGAGCGGCTGGGCAGGGCCGTCGAACTGGCCGAGGAGCTCGGCGTGGAGCTTCCCCCAAGGGTCGCCGAGAAGGGGCGCTTCAAGTTCGCCATCAACGAGCTGGACGCGTGGGCGATGGTCGGCGGGACGGCGAGGAACGACGCGGAGCACGCGGTGGTCTGCGGGAGGAAGGTCATCCCGGCCGGGGAGCCCGGGGAGGGTTTTGTGCGTGTGGCGTTCAACATGAGGTGGGGGTGGCAAGACGACCGGCGGGTGTGAGGCGATGAGGCGTCCTGCGTGCTTTACCGGGAGGAAGTGCTGTGAGCACCGCGAGAATGTCGTCGCCGGGAGCGAGACCTTGCATGCTGCAGAAGGAGGCATGATGATATGGCGACGTCGTCGTTGTCGGGAGGGAGACCTGCATGCTACCGGGAGGAGGCGTTTTAAGCATCTCGAAGCCGTCGGTTCTCGTCGGGAGGGAGACTTGCATGCTACCAGGAGGACGCGTGGTGAGCACCTCGAAGCCGTCGTTCTCATCGGGAGCGAGTCTTGCTGTGGTGGCGATTGATGCTGTGGAGAAACGGCGACGTTGGGCGGGAGGGATGATTGGTGAACAACAGAGAGAGAAGAAAACCAGAGAACAACCCTTATGGCATGGATGATTCAGTTTAACATGAATTCACTGGGGTCCACAACGGGGTTCAAGACAGCGGGGCCCCTTCTCCAACCGCGGCAGCGATGGCGAGGTGTTCTCGGATGGTAGGCGGGACCGACGAGGTATGTGTGGACGTTGTGCCCTTGAGCGGTGTAGATGTGCCTGCGGTTGGATGGCCCACAACAATTGCGACTGTGGTGGCCTACATTCACATAACAGCGGAAAATATCCCACGCCCCGGCGACAGCGCTGAGTGTTTGGAAACGCCAGCTCTGGTACCGCTCTGTGTGGGGTATCCGATATCTCAAGGGAGCTACGGTATCTGAAGCGATCTGTAGCGCATGCACTTGTTTTTCTGGTACTACTGCGATTTGCTGCGGAGTGATGGGATGATGAGATCTACATAGTGTTGGCAGACCGTGGATTTTGAGATCGCATGCACATTCTTGTTGGTTTGGGTTCTCGCGCTGGTGATCGATCAGCTCCATCTGCCCTGGGTTTGGGGCTAGGGTAACGGGAGAACCTTTTTGCTGCATGGGTGGGAAAGCCGAACGTGCAATATTTTTTAGTCGCCCGATACGCGGTGGTTGTGTTTCATTCTGCCCGCCGGATGCTGGCCAGGACGCTGCTAACCCTTGTACGTCAAGAAGACGCTTGCTCTATGAATATCTTTGCTTCTCGAGCACCTATGCCCCCCCCACCCCTCGCTGCAATTCGGCGGGCGTTGTGTGTTCGGCGCGTGGTACTCTTCAAAGTAGTTGCTTTCATGCGCATTCCTTGCCGACAACGCTGCTACAGTAGTTCCTGCCGGGTACAACAGCGTGGCCGCCTGGGCCGAGCGGGATGTCGCATCTTATGAGAAAAATGACGTGGTACAAAATCGTGAGGGTGTGACATATTTCTCTTTCGTGGGGGCTGCGTTGTGTTCGTTGAGCGCATAATAGTGTGTACTTCATGTCGTGTTGCTGCTGCCGGCGAAGGTCTTTTCGTTTTGGCGCGTTTGACGAAGCTCTGCCTACGATTCTTGCGAGGAGTACGGATGACCGTTCTCTCAGCTCCTTGCGGGACTTGTTGGCGAGGCGCTGGCCAAACGATCGCTGCCCTTGCCTGTCAGCACCTCTTCGACAACACTTGTATATTTTCTTCCCGGGCAGAGTTTATGCATGTGTCATGAGTGCTTCGCGTCGCACCTCCCCTTCACGCGCAAGAGGCAGCTCGTTCGCACGCACGGAGTTAACGTACTCGTGTGTTCGAGACAAATTTGATGTGATGGTGTTCATTGTTTTTTGGCGAGGTACGAGTCTTATGCCAGGTGTGTTGTATGCATGCATGAATCGTTTGTGCTGGGAGAGTGCGGGACAGCTCGAACCCCCTTGGTGATTGGTAAGTGTTTGTTTGGTTTTCTGCTTTTTGCTGGAGCGCACGCGTCGTCAGTGCTGCCTGTCTTTTTTTTTCTACAACATGATGACCTCAAGTGTGAAGACGGGGCGCGATTTGACTAGTATTGGAACTGGTACATACCGTGACGGGGGTTGTTGTCGAAGCTCTTCGAGAAGTATGACCTAGGTGACCGCGACGTGCTGCGTGCTGCCGTTATGTGTTTGTTTTCGTTTGTGTCGTCTTGTGGTGCTGATCTCTGGATCTGTTCCTGTCTTTCTCGTTTTTTCCGTTTTTTCGTCGTGGACGGAGAGAACATGAAGGAAGGAACAACTGAAAAGAGTAGGTATCTTTACCTTCGTTCGTCCTTGTTACGTGCGCGTGCGAACAAGCAGACACGTTCCGCCGGTTCATTGCACGTTTCCATCTGTCTGTGTTTAGCTGGGTCAAGTGAACAGGGGGTTTCTGTTGGCAGGGTGGGAGGGTGATGACATTCGGTACGAAGAGTGAGTGAACACAAATATTTGCCAACGAAGCAGCTGAATGCAACAGGTCTGACGCTGTGATGAGCGTATCAAAAAATACATCGTGTTGATGCCACCGGAGCCAGGCCAGCTTTTGCCCCCCCCCCCTTTTGCAACTAGCTGTCGCCTTTCGCTGGGAGTACGATACCACGCATCAGATACTACGTCCGGCCTCTGAACTGTTCTCCCACTCGACTCCTGAAATCCCTTAGGCGCACACTCCTGGGGGGGGGATAGTCTTGCGGCAGAAAGCATGGTTTGCTGCACAGAGAGTGGAGGTCTGAAACCGGTCCGATTTTGACGCGTGCGCTTGTATATGGTCTTCTGGTGGCGGTTATTGACTTTAATTGGTTACAAGAAAATCCGAAGTTCGCACAAAGCATAAGAAGTTCGCCGCGATGCTCCAGATCGTATGCGAAAACGCACAAGCGTCACGTAAACTATTACGTATGTGGACATCCATGCTGTGCCTTCACGCTTATCAGTATCGGAGGCGTCCCCGGTCTAACCGCAGTATTCGGCGGGGGCTGTTCGTCTATACTACAAACTACCCCACCTACCCTACGACGGTGGTGCGTCCCCTCCACGACCTCAACAAAACACCGTTGTCGGAAAGTGATGTCATTTACACCACAGCCAGGGATCTACTTCCATAACAGAAACGGGTCTGACCACTCTTAGGAACACGTTTTTACTGCATACGACTTGTCTATTTCGGGACAAACGGCAACTACAGCACTAAACATCACTGGTAAAACGTTTCCGGGTACCTTAACAAAGCGGTCCAAACCCCGTCGGCCGGGAAGGTTTACCGCGGTCTACAGTCGTTGGTTCCGCTCCCGTAGCCGACCGATCCGCTTGCTCGCCGTTCCTATTCTATGCCTCCCCAAGGTCTGCACGTCTGCTAGCGTTTGGTTCGTATTTGACGATTCAGACTCGGCCCGATCGTCGGAACTCGAGCAAATACCCTTTCGAACAGTCAGTGCCTACAAGACAAGGGTGACCTTTCCAACATTGCTTCTCAATTTCCACAGGGTAAAGAAGAATCTCCGAACTTTCGACACCTCGATTGTCGAAATACCAGTTTGGACGGTTGAGGGTTTTCGGTTTCGGCAAACAAGCCGATGAAGCTAACAACGGCATCGATTTAGTCCTCGGCATCGCACGTATCTGAAGGCGTATATACCTACAGAGTCGGGTCGCCGCAGCAGCGTTGTACCTTTCCCGCCAATTATCACCCCCTTCGGATACCAACAACTACCGGCGACGCGGAAGGACCACCATTTCATTTCCCCCTTTCTTTTTCTCCTCCTTTGATACCTTGGGGAGGACCTCTTCTCGTTGTTGCCGATGCTGTTGCCGTTCTGGTTGCCCTGATCGGTCGAGCTGTGGTGCCAGCGATCTTGCCGTCGTACTTGGATCGTAGCACAGCGCTTGGACGCGCGCGGTCGTTGTCCGCCAAAGGCGTCGAAGTCGATGCGGTAACGTTAGGTCGGTGTTGGCTGTTGTTGTGTTGCGGTGATCGGCGCCGGGGGCGTTGTTGTGGAGCTTTTCTTCTCCCCGCGTTGCTGGTGCTGGTGCTGGCGCGACCAGGGGACGGCGGTGCGCTCATCTTAACCCGGTACGATTGGCGTCTCTCCAGCCAGTAGGCGCCAGCGGCAGGTCCAGGAGAAATCACCTTTTGCAACCAAGTTCCGTTTTGTTTTTATTCGCGTTCCGTCGGACATGGGAACGCGGACGAGGGTATAACATGTGTACGATGACCAAGCCGATAAGCTCAAGGGTATTGTAGTCTACATGGCATGGGCCACCGTTTCTATAGGCGTGTGCTGTTGTTCTTCTGTTTGTCCACCGGACCGCTCTGTTAGGTGTGGCGAGTGTTGCGAGTGTCTATTTGCCAAAGGTGGCTTCCCATACTCTACAGCTGCAGCTATTCGATCTACGCAGACGTATTCATAGGCCGAAAAACCTAAACTCATGCCAACACCGTACAGGAGAGGAAGTGAACCAAGCTTGTCAGGGTCGCCTCTTCTTCAGGCAGGAGGTCTTTCCGGGCAACACAGCCCCGAGTGCTAGAGGGAGAAAATGTGCAAGACTCTGTGCTGCCTGCCATTCTCTCCTCCCCGCGACCTAAAACTACCCATTCTATGCTCCGATCACTTCAAATCCCACACTCTTTACAACACTCGCGAGGACGCCCGCCCCCGCCCCCACGAAACAAGAAGAAGAACCAACAACATAACTAGGACGGGTTGCAGAGAGTCGGATCGATACCTGGGGCTTGTATCCCGGCATGAAGTAGCCAGCTCTGTCCATCGCCGCCCGCCGGTGAAACTCGAGGTTGGGAAACGCGGGATCGATATAGCTTACCGTGTCCGATACTAGCCGGCTGAGCCCACGTTTATCTCCACCGAGTAACCCGGGCAAATCCTGTGGTACGTTGTAGCAGGGTGGTGGGTAAAGGGACGGGGCCGGGGGAGTACCCCGTTCGTGGCTTGCCGTAGCCGCTACGAAGAGAGCGATCGCCCACGACTCTCGGGATGGTGGTGATCTTACTCACGGATGCCCTGAAACCATCGAAAATTTCGCTTGCTTGTTGTATTGCTAGACTCTGTTCTCGGAACTTGCCGGTCGTTTCCAGGGGTTGGCGAACACAAAACATGCTGCCGGCTGCGAACACGTACCTACGGAAGACTTGAGCGTGTGCCACCAAATACGAAAGCCAATCTTTGTCCCTTGCCATATGTGAAGCAGAGGCCTGCCGGTCACGGATGTAGGCTTTGAAAATGAAAAGGCGCACCCGACCCCCCAAGTGCAGCAACCCACCTTTATATGGTCCATGTTGAAAGGGTCGGCCATGACAGACCCGTTGACTTGGTTTGGATCAGGAAGCGTCGGCTTCTGCACGGTGTTTGCGGGACAAAGAGCGAGAGAGGGGGCAATCGTGGTTTTCGATGAATACAAACCTTAGCCAGACACACAACGGGCCTTTGATGGAGGAGAGGTGGCGGCCACCGGCGTCGACCTCGACCCGAAGGCGTCGGCGGGGTCGGTTCGACTACCCGAGGGAATGCAGGCACGATACTATTGCGCAAAATGACCCTCCTTCCAGCGATGAGGGTACCTCTTGCTTCCAGAGATTTCCCTCGGACATATTCCTGCGACTACAGTAGTTCTTAGTCTTTGTACTCTAGCCGACAACGAATGCGATGTTCTGCAGGCCGCGAGTATGGTACAGCAAAATTGTTCTATCGAACGTGCGTTGTGTGGAGGCCACGCCGTTTCGCACCTTCCGCTGGCCTGTCTCGAGCCTTTTCGTCTCATCACCTCCCTCCACCCCGCCGCGTGCTGGTCCACCATCTTCGGTGGCCGCACCTTTCGTTGGCGACGCGGAGATCGCGACGGTGGTGTCTTCGGCGTCATTATCAGCAGCGTCGGCACCGCAACTCGGAGACACGCTCGTTCTGCATGGTGACGACTCCGGGTGGAGCTTCTCCGTCCCACGACCAGCTGCGGCTGTTGCTGAAGCACCGCTGCCAGCACCTGCCACGGCCTCGCCTCTGGCCTCGCCTCCTCGGGCGTCGTCGTCGCCTTGATCTGACCGGCCTATTTCGCCGCCGCCCTCGCCTTTGTCGCCGCCGATAGCTTTGCCGTCGACAGCGGCGCGCCCGCCTGCACCACCGCTACGAGATAGTGACCATGCCCCTTCCCCTCCCCCTTCTCCGTGACATTGTTCCCGATCACCACCAGCACATTCGGTGCCATTGCACCCGTTGTCGATGTCGGCGCCGGCATGCTCTCCTCCTCCTCCTCCTCCTCCTCCTCCTCCTCCTCCTCCTCCTCCTCCTTGCCCCCCTTGGCCGACGGTTTTCCGCTGGTCCAGCACCGCATGACGGCAGCTCGCGGCATCACGATTGCCACCAGCGACAACTTCGTCGGTTATTTCCGGCCAAGGCAGCGACTTTCGCAGCCGCCTGTCGAGGGTGTGTTGCGGGAGATTTGTGCTCGGACGAGGGTCGTACTCCGCCATGAGAGCATCGAGCTTTCGAATCGAGTCCGGTGTCGTCGTCGAACAGGGCGATTTTTTTAAGAGGACGGGTTTCAAGATCGGGGGAGGAAAGCATCAAAAGAAGTGGGGTCGAGCCATTGGTGATTTATGGGTGTAACGGCGTGAACGTGAGTAGAAAGGTTTTGTCACACTTCATACTCTTGTTCGTTGTGGAGGGGGGCCATCATATTAAATGATCCCACCCAACTGCCTAACCACCTGTCGAGAGCGATGCCCTCCTCTCACGTTGTACCATCGCCAATAATGCCTTACATACAAAGTACGACTACCCCCGAAGTTAGTTTTGGCTCTTCACTTTTCCGAGCCGGTTTTAAACCATTTTGTACTCTTGACCCCAGATACCAAACCGCCACCACTGTCCGTACTCTAACTTACCACCAACACCGAGGGTTCCTGACTGACCTCTCTGGCGTTTCTTCTTCTAATCTCGTCCAGGCTATGAAACGCCGCCTCTCGCCCCCCCCTGCCCCCCCCCTCACTGGTCGATGCCGGGCAAGCTAGTAACGCCTCTTCCTGTTCGACACACAAAGGAGCGGCGACGATACAGAGTTTGGGGTCGTTTTTACGTGCGTCTGGTCCCAACTTCTTCAAACCAACCAGCCCAAAAGGCGTACGGCCTTGGAGCTACACGCAGTCGGATCGGCCAACCTTTCGTGTGTTTGCGTTTCTCAAGGCAGGGGATGGGTGGAATGTGGGGTGGCGCTTGTCTTACTGTCGCAGAAGTGCGGAAAGAAGCAGTACAGGCTGTTTCGCCAACGACTCCCCCCGCCCCCCCCCCGTCCCCATATTGATGCTGTCGACTGTAGTTGACAAGGATGGCACAGGAGACGTAGTGAGTGGGAATCCTGGAATTTTGTGGGATGCCGAAATCGGGATGGTAAGGAAACATTAAGATGTGAACCGCAGGGGTACACAGGCGACGAAGACTGCCGAGGGATGCCAGGAAATCGAGAAGGAAACAGACCAGAGAAGGGACAGGATGGCGTTAAGAACGAAGGTGTGGCATGTGAGGCACACTTCGACGTCAGACGGGAAGCGTTGAGAAGAAACAAGAACGGGAGCGAATATCAAAAAGCCCGATGGACTCTGCGACAACGTTGGAGTGGAAACGTCGGGGGACATGGGCTTGCTAAAAGGGCGGGACTTGTGTACCGGACGTAGGGTGGAGAAGCAACGCGATACGTACACTAGATACACCACGTGGCAGGGCAAGAGAGAAACGCTTGAGCGAGATAACAAAACATGTAGGTGAACCTAGGCGGTGCTTGGGTCATCTTGTGACGAACGGAAATCTGTTTAGTTGTCACCGTTGAAGAGTCGGGAAGAAGTGGCACTGGACAGAGGTTAGCCCTGATTTCAACTGTGGAGACAAGACAACAACGACGACGACTAGAACATCAGCTAGAAAACAATCGTTATCTTATGAAACGGATGGTCACCAGTACTCGGCAACAGACGAAGAGGCTCCAGTACGTAGAGTACGATATGGCAGGCCCACAAAGTTGGGAGTCTGCACTAGGAGGGGGAATAGTGCTCGGTCTCGAATGGGAGTGAAGCGCGCTCAATCGTCAAATGACTGAGGCAAGCAAGAGACGACCCCCCCAAAAAAAACTCCCAAACCTCTCGGTTTCCAAATGGGTACAATCGAAATGTTTCAACCGGTTGTTCGCCGCCTAGTGTTGGAACTCTTTCTGGAACCCCCCCTCCCTCCGTTACACGATGCATTGGTAGCGTAATTCAGGTTAATGACAATAAGTGCAGCATGGGTGCACGCGAAGCCTATTGCGAGAGTGTGTGTTCACGCCTTATCCTTACCATGTCCTCCTCCTCGATCCGAGCTGCCTCGAGCAGCGAGAACACCATCTGCCTGCCGCGCACCTTGCTCCGCCAAAGAGCGGCAGGGACATCTTCTCCGCGGCGTGCTTCGACGCGTTGGAGTGGGGGTGGTGCTGTTTTCCTGCCGGTGGGAGTTTCCGATGCAGAGCCGGCCCTGGTGGTTGCAGGCAGAGATTCGTCACAGAGCGTTGCTTTTGAACACAAGCATGCAGCGGGGCCAAGCGGGTCTGATTGCGTTCATCTGTACACTGTGGTTGTGTGTGTTTCTTACTAAGGCATCCCTCACCGCTATTGTACTACGAAATATTTTTGTTCTTTGGCCAACAATGCTGCGAGGTGTATGATAGCATAGACTAGGAGAGCCAAGTGAGGCATGCACGGTTACCGACCGCCCCACCACCGTATGTCATACCATGTAAGGACATCGCCATGTATTGCGTACAATGTGTGGTGAACGTCAAGCGATAGCCATCAGGACATGTCGTCTACCGTGATGAAAGGAAAAGTAGTGTGAAACAAGATTCTTCGCGCCAAGAGCTCATCGTGGGGTCCTCGCTAACCTCGCCAAAGTGCTGCATCTTCTTCCCCATCCAGACGAAGGTCGTTCGTTGGCCGGCTCCTCGTCCATTGAGACGCTGCCACCTTCCTCAAGCGATGGCCTACCGTGGCTAGTAGTATTGTCACCCCCCTCGCCGCACTCCAGCCCCAGTCCTGTCTTTCCTTCCATGCTGCCGTTGTCTCCCCCTCGCTCCTTTTCATCCTCCAAAGCTCGTGTGTTTCCTAGCTCTGACGCCTCTATCGTCAGACCAAAGTCTATACATTCTGGTTGAGAGCAGTCGTCCTCGTTGGAGACTTGGGCTTCAGCACCGTTCAGGTGGAAGTTTAATGGGTGACAGATGGGCGCCGATGCCGTCGGACCGGCAGTCTCTAGGATATTTCGCTGTCTGCGACGTGAAGCTACTCTCTCGCGGACCGCTCTATACTGGCTGTATGTTGGCGGCAAGAGGGACAATTCCTTGTACAACAGCTTGTTCTCGGCCTTGTATGAGTCCAGAGTACGAGCCTGGAGAACACGGTTGGGGGTGGCGGGAAGAAGGGGGGGAAAAGGGGGGGAGAGAGAAATGGAAACACACGAAAAGGGAGGGGAGAGAGAGGGGAGTTAGAGAAAGGGGATCGAGATTGGTGTAGTGTTACAACGTCAACAGTTTGTCTTCTTGTTTCAAGGGAACCTTGTTTTGTTTCAAGGGAACCCCGAATCCTGTCGTCGACACACGTAGTAGCACGCCAACGTTGCTACCCGCCGCCAGCCGCATACAAGTAACTTCTTCGCACAGAGGATCATTGTCTAAATCGGCATATCATCTGTGTACACCTGACGAACAACGGTAGACCGGTCCGCATTCAGCGTGGTGAGTGGTCGATACAGATGGACACAGATTCCGCTATACCGCAATCAGGATAAGAGAGAGAGTGTCGAATTTACAGGGGGGTGCAAAATGTAATACAGGGGAACTTTACGCTCCATTTCTCGATTGGTGTATTTCGAGATGGTGATCAGACGATATGCACGCAGAACGTCGAGACTACTGTTCTACACTATGCACCTTCAACTACGGTACAGTCTACCCTACGAGATGCAACACAGACCCATTAAATAAAAGGAACGCCAGTGTTTGCGATTTGTTCGAGGCAATGTTCGGGTGCTTCGAAACTTGTGTGTGTGTCATAGTCAGCAACGACCGTCAAACATGAATATAGACTATGCACGCTTCCTTTCCACGCTCCGGTCGACATCTACAGTCTAGAAACATAGCACTACAGTCTACTGCGGTGTCTGTGCTGTACATACATAGGTAGTACCTGTCGCGAAGACACTTGGTCACGTACTGTTTTCGAACTCCTCAAAATTGCGTCGATGACCTCACGAGGATCTCCACTTTCACAGCCCACTTCTGCCCTCACAGGTGTGTGTGATCTCAACAGGGAACTCGAACCGGCCAGAATTCCGACGCCGTCGTGGATGTCAGCCGATGTGCCTCGAAGGAGTCCCAGCGGGTCCTCCTCGTCGTGTTCATCACCGCCGTAGTAAGTGGCAGGGCTGCTGCTAGAAATGACGACGCTTCGGCCGCGGCTCATGTTTTGGTTGCACACCTACACGACACGGATGCATGAGCAGCAGCAAGCCAGACCGAGGCACGAGAGAGTGCAGCTTTGCGACGAAGCTGCATTGGCCACTTATCGAACACTGCTGCTGCTGCTGCTGTGTAGACGATGGGATGCCGTATTTCGTACGGTGTGTGAAGGAAAAGAGGACCGGCGGCCCGGCACAATATAGCACTGCCAGGCGGCGTAATGCGTGCGCTGGTTGGTTGGTGTCGGTTGAGGTTGAGGTTGAGATTGCCGGTCGAAGGCCCTATTGATGACGCAAGTAGCGGGCAGCGAGCTTGTCGAAACGCGATAACGTTGATACTTTCTCGGTCGGAACGAATAAAAGAACGAAACCGCCATAGACTATCCATTTTTTTTTTCCCCGCATTTTGTTTTTAGTTGTTGTTGGGTGCTGGTGTGCTGGTTGCTGTGCGTGACCAGGGAACCAGGGAAGAGTTATACGTTATACAGGTTTTCCTTATCACAGCAGTTTGAAGGTCCAACGGTGCCTGCTGGAGACTACAGCAGTCGCAGTATAGACGTCGTGCTCAATCGTGAGAGTTGTGTTCAATCAAGTCCGTTGATCGTGTCCGTTGAACGGTGAACTCCGCCTCTACGCTCTACGCTCCACGTACGCACGTACGTAACACGGTGACACGATGCCGGTTCGAAAAGAATACCCGCCCTTGACACATCGGCAAAAATCCATCTCTTTGGCGGAATGCGTGTGTTATACTCGTAAGAAGAGCCACATTTGAACACTCTTCTCACCAAGAAGAAAAATTCTCGCCCCCTTATCCCTCCTCGTAAAACACCGCGACCGACCTGCCAAAGGAGGGAGGCAGGTGCGAAGGTCTTCCCGCACACCACACCCTACGTTGTTTGCGCGCGACGGCCAATCGGTGAGGGATGCCTCTGTAGCTACAAGTCTACACCCGAGGTCGTTTGTGTGTTGGTTGGCACAGCGGCGGAGAGCAAGAGGCGCCGTTGTTCTTCAGCACAGCAAGCGTCCAAAAAAGCTGTATGCTATCACCATGGTTGATGACCACCGATCGTGTCATCTCGACGTGCCGACATGATGGCTTTGTGGTCTGCTGGTGTGGTGTGGTGTCGGCGCGTTAGTGCAGTTGCCGTAGGAATGGAACGGGCCTGAGCGCCTGAGCGCGCACCGGCTGTTGTTGTCACTGATTTTGATGCTAAAAACTAAAAACCAAACACCATGCTGACTCCAGCCCGCGCTGGCTCCGCCCATGATGTGATTTAGAATATATGCGTATGGCAGCTCGGTCATCCACCATTATTACCCCGCGCGGGGCACGTGTAGTCTATGTTGTTGCATCAGAGACACACACACATGGGTGTGCCATCTGCTGCATTATCCCACACACTCAGCAGCACTTGATGTGACGGCCGACGACGCTCGACCTGCTACTGCTGTACGCGGTTTTGCTTGCTTGGATCAAAAGCTTTGACACCACCCCACAACGAACGCTCGGCAGCTTGCTGCGAAGGATTGGCGACTTGGCGACGATATGTTCCGCTTACGTGTGAGAAAGCGTGCATTTATTTGCTTCCGTGCGTGGCGGCTGCTGTACCTACTACAGCGAATCTCCAGGGCGCCGCTCGTCCCTGCAGTAACGAGTGGATAGGGTTGGGGATTGTCGAGGGTGCAGCACCTACAGCTGTATCCGCAAACCCCAACGACTCTATTAGTCGCAAGTTTAGCATTCCAAGATCCAGGACAGCAAGCAGCGTTGAAGTGCTGCTGTGGGTTTTTTCCGCATGATTGCTCGTTTCCCCAGCTCCCTCCGTATTGTACACGACCCGCGGAGCATTTCAATTTTGGGACGGCCGTCATAAACTAACTTGGACGTGGCCAGGCTGTTGTTGATTGACGACGAGTCGCTTTTGGCGGGAAAGGGCGTGGTGTGAAGGTCAACCAGCGATGATCTTTGGAGTCTCGACCTGCTCCGGTGACTCATACGGCGCGCGCCTCTGTTTTGGTTGTTCGAGCAAAGAGACCACCACCGCGATCCACCTCGACCTTCGCTCATACACTTGTTGTATCACGTTTGGAAAATATAAGGACCATTCGGATACACCTGCAGCATACATAATTATTTGATTGTCCCAATGGTTCCCATATTTATCAGAACAGACTGGTATGCGTAGAAACATGAAATGCTTACTGCAACCAGTCAGGGACCGCTTTTGTAACCTGCGACACGTCTTGGTGTTGGTTTTGACGTGCGCCTCGCTTCCTTGACCGCCCTTCCTTTCTCGACGCAATGCGAAGATACGAAAACCCTCCGGCAGCGCGATGGCCACGGACCAAGGAGCACCAGCACCCTCCGGCAACGGCAACCCCCACGGCAACGACAGCAGCTCCGACAACAGCGGCAGCACCCTCACGGTACCCGACAACATGAGGGAGAGCTTCGGTTCCAATCACCATGGGCGTCGTCCGGGTTCTGCCGCCTTGCCCCCGAACGGATCCATGAGCTTCACGATCAAGTCGGCGGCAGCAACAGCAACGACCGAAGAACGCAGAACGGCTTCGTTGTCCTGCGCCAGCAGCGCCAGCACGCTGTGCGCCGAATCGCGCAGCCGCTCCAGCAACAACATAAAGAGCCGCCACATCGTACGCTTCGCAGGAGCAGCAGGAACAGGAGTGGTAGCGGGGGAATTGATCCAGCAAGGGGAAGATCCCGTACCAGGCCGCTCCCAGAAGAACAAGTCGTCTCCTCCTCCTCCACCTCCCGCCACCACCGCTTTTACTCCCGATCCCACCGCCGCTGCTGCCGCAGCCGCAGCCGCAGCCGCAATCAACCCGGGGAACAAATTCGGGTTTGTGACCGTGAGCGCCGGTGACGGTCTCTCGGGAATCGGTAGGCGGTCGTTTGAATCTGAGCCTGCGCCTGGCGCTGGACCCGCGCCTGGCGCTGTAGCGCATCTCAACAATGGCCACGGCACGACGGCGTCTGCGCCGCCGTCTGCCTCTTCCCTCGGAGGCAGGGCCACGGCGGCACGGGCGAGCGTCGGGAGGGGGCGGGGTCCGCGCCAGCGCACGTTAGCGGAGGCACAGGCAGTGCTAGCACGTGACGGCGGCGGCGGCGGTGACAGCGGCGGCGGTAGCAGCGGCGGCGGCGGTAGCAGCAGCGGCGGCGGTAGCGGCGGCGGTAGCAGCAGAAGCGGCGGCGGTAGCAACAGCGGCGGCGACAGCAACAGCGGCGGCGATAGCAGCAGCGTCGGCGAGGGCGCTACCCCTCCGGCCACGCGTGGCACGTTCATGCACCAATCACGCCTCCCTAAGCTACAAGTCCCCCCGCTGGGAGATACGCTTGGGAGGTACCTGGGGGCAGTAGCGCCATTGCTGTCTCCGGAGGCATTTGCGGTCACCAAGGGGGTGGTACAGGAGGTGAGATTGCCGTAGTATGACGCAACGGCACGTGTTAGATCAGTTCGCGGTCGTGGTGTAGGTCTTTCGTTCCGCGGATGTTGCTTGTTTGGTACAAAGACGCTCCTTGCGCAGGCCTTACTTAGCACACTCACACCGCGCGTGCTACCCATAGCGCTGCGCACCAGAGGCGCTACACAAAATGATCGGCATGCTTGACTTCTCCGAGGGAACAAGCGTCGGAGCCGGTTCGCCTTGCGCACGGGAAAAAGCACTCCTGCGCTAGCTAAGCGGTAGACTACGGGCAGAAAAGCTTGGCGTCTGGCGGTATGCGAGCTGGTGGCGTAAGAGCGATCGGTCGATGGCCCTTGGTGCCCACGCTCTAACAATTTACAATTTACCGTGTAGACGACGAGGCGCTGCTCCACAATCTTAGCAGTCCTAAATCCGTGTACGGCATCGTCCGGTTCGGCGGGCTCTGGCCGCCGCTTACGCGCGAAACTACCCAGGCGTTGTGTGTATGTGTGTACGTGTTGTCGCCGTTCAGTTTGTCCGTTCGCTCCTAAGACGGCGCTATACGGAGGTGAAAGTTGCTGCTGTTGCTGTGGACACACCGACCGGGCCTCCTGTGCGTGACCGTGAAAGACGCTTGGTTCTAGATTGATGTATTATCACCCATTCGTTCCTGACGCAGTTCGAGACCAGCGGGGAAGGGGAGGCGCTCCAGCGGTCTCTCCTCGAGTACGCCGCCGAAAAGGATAGCTTCGTCGAGGAGTTCTGGGACGACAGCTACCTCACGCCCAAGTCCAGCGTGGTGCTGAACCTAAAGTGAGATGGAGCATGGTGGGGCGTCATGCTTTCTGGTTGGATTCTTGGCTTTTGTTTCTCGTGATATCTATCTTTTTTTTGGCCCCCCGCTCGCTGACAGCGTCTGCATACCCTTCAAAGTTAATCTTGCAACTCCAGTAGAAGGGCCTCGTAAACTGCACGCATCCCCGACCGGATCATTCGGAAGGAGAAGGTGCCTCTGCCGTTACCCTCTGCCGTTCTTTTATTCGACTTTACAGAGTCAAGAAGCTACTTTTTGCTGTACCTTCCCTCGTGTGCATGTGCATGTAGTACTCGTCGCGATCTCTATTGCAGTTTTGTTAGATTTAACGAAATATGTACCGTATGGATTGAACAACATCCGTTGCCTGTAACTCGGGGTCGCGACCAAGCGGTCTGGCAAGAGGTTGTCCTTTGGTGTTCGTTTTTTCTCTCTGTTTTCTCGCTTTTCGTATACGTTGCAAGTGCTGCACATGAAGGCCGGTAGTCGGCAGCAGCAGTGAGCCTCATACCGGCGCGTTCACCGTTCTGCGCGTTGTCCTGGACTCGCAGATAGTCGCAGGCTTGACTCCCCGTCGAATCCGCTCCACGTCCCCTCTGTCGGGGGACCCCGCGGAGTAGAATGTGTTTCGCACTTTTCGTCGCCCGGCTCAAGACTACTAGCAGCGTGATAGTTGTTTTCAGTTGGTTTGCGCAACAGTCGATGAAATTTCCAGAAGCACACTTGCCTCTCTGCTGTTATCTATCGTAGCTCGTCGAGACCAACCTGGTTGATGGTGTATCTAACCCGTTTTCTGCGCTCAACTGCTATACCGGGCACAACACCTAATGCCTCGCCGATTCACTGCTGTGGTGGCCTTCTTGCTTCGACGCCGCCGTCCGTATCTTGTCATGATTTACACCGATCACCGCGGAAAAAAAAATATAAACCAGTCCCTTCTTCGTGTTCGAGACGCCCACTTTGAGCACTCACTCCAAAGACTTGGGAGACGAAATCGGCGACGCTGGCGCCTGCTCCTCTTGCGGCGCCGGTGGTGGTTCGGAGGACCGTTCTCGCTTCCCTTCCCCGCCACGGAGGTCAGCAAACGGAGGCATCGACGTCTACGACGACAACGCATCCCGGCCGTCTTTTTATCGGTCACCACCCCACAAGCGGGGTGACAGGAGGAGCAGCGAGCCGGCGTCCCGTCGGGCGGCTCGCGACACGGGCCGGGCCGCTGTCGCGGGGAAGAAGCAGGCGAGGCGAGCCGCGTCTTTGCTGTACTCGTCGCTGAGGTTCGCGTCGGCCGTGCGGAGCGAGACGTTGCCCCCTGGTGAGTTCGTTCCGGTAGATGACTACCGTGGGTGACACAAGATACCACCCCCCCCTGGATTGGCCTTCAAAGCTCGATTTTTTCCGCAGAAGAAAGAGTGGCGGTGCCGAAAATGGCGGCGTCGGGACCGTCTCGTCGAGAGCTTTCCGAGAACGTATACGTATGACTCATACATCCTCGTCGTCGTGGAGCAATGGAGCTGTGAAGCCCATCAACTTCACGCGGTAATCTAGCCTCTCATCACGTGTCGAGCACCAGCGTAGTAGGTAGACATGCTGGCGTTGTTGGTAGGTAGGGGTGCGGCCTCAGACCAATCACCTTTCACAGGCTTCCTCGCTGAGTTAGCAAAAATTGAGTAAAAGTTGTAGCCGGGGGTCTGGTGGTCATTCCTCTGTTTGGCCTTGTGCTTCACGTGTCGTCGAACTCGAAAAACTGATAAGAAGCTGTTGCAATTTTGCTTCATGGACCTTTTTCTTGCACGTTCATTCCTGTTTCCGATATTTGTCATACCATCCACCCTCTCCTCAACCAGCCGGAAGCACCCACGTTGTTCTCAATTTGCTTTGTTTGCTGCTGTCATGACCGCATTTGACATGTTTTCTGCAACTAACCGACGGAGCGTCCGTACCCCTTGGTGTGCTCTTCGCTGACTCTTTGCCACAAGACCTTTGGCGAGACACCCCGCTTTGCATGGCGCAGTACCGGAGGCTTTTCGGGGCGCACAGGAAGGCGGTCGAGAACGACGCGGACGAGATGAGAGTGTGCGAGGTGAAACAAGGCGGACGGGCGGGGGCGCAAGCGCAGCAGTCAGTCGTCGGCGTAGTTCGGCGTGTTGCAACTCGGGTGGGGTATTGTAGTAGTAGTGACCGGGAAAACGTCTCAAAACAGATGGTGATGGAAAGCGACACCGACGAAATTCAACTATGTTGCAAGGTTCGGCAGACGGTGAGGGGGGAGTACCCCCATGCTACAATAACCTACCTGCTAAAAGAAAAAAAAATAACCTACCTGGTACTGAAGTACTATTTAGTGGTTTGGCCAGGTTGACGGTGCATCTGGTTAGAGAGAGAACGCTGCATACCTCCCTCTGCACGAATTTTCAGGTAACAAACGTTTCCAGGCGTGAAGTGACTCGCCAGCATAGCTCCGTTGTGTTTCTCCGAGCCGGTTTGGTCCGGGCGGTTGGTGTGGCAATCATCACCCCAGGTTCTGTCGCTCGTGTGTGTGTGTACTGACGATCTTCGCTCGAGCGGAGCCACCTGTTGTGAGTGCTCTCTCCCCACACCCGCTCGCTTTCAACGACCGCTCCCTCTCTCCCAGTCGGAGGGTGTAACGTCGTGCGGAACAACGGAATGGTCTGTATCGAAAAGAACGGATGCGTGCGCGACCCCCAACAAATCACTATAATAGGGTGGGCAACAACTGACTTACCCCCTCCCCTGTCCTGCTGTCTACGTGGTTCGTGTATATTCTCGTCGGTAACTCCAACCCGTTGCCAGGATTCCAGACACGTGGTTGTGCTGTGCAAGAACCAGTTCTACTGCTTCAGGTGCGTTTGGGTTGAAGTACTAAACGCGAACAGATTGTTGTTGCGCTACTGCACGCCCAAAGAGTGTTTTCTCGGAGAGAAAAGTTCTGCTTCTTTTCAGGCGTGCAAGATTCAGGAACCCCGTGTTCGTTTCTGAGCACTTTGGGTGGATGTGGGAGCATACCCGTGCTAAAAACAAGGTAGTGTGTGTGTCTCTCTCTCTCTGTCATTCTCACGCTCTCTCATTCCTGGAATCTATCACACACCATATGATGCAGTGCGCTACATCCCGATGGACGGGTGGGAATCACTGAGGAGGAGCTGGAAGAGATTGTGCTAGCCGTGCAGGAAGATGCCGCGAAGGCTAACCTAGCAAAGACCGCGGCCAACGCTGTCGGGGTTCTCACCACTCAGGTCAGAGACTGGAAGGAAATCATCAGAGGTACAGACGTAACACGTGTTGAATTGTGTCCCGTCTCATCTTTATCGTCGTCTCGTCGCGTGCCTCATGTTTCCCTTTGCACGGCCGCGGGATATATACCACGATGTCGTATCGTTTGAGGAGGACAACGACACCGCTGCGTGCACGGAAGTTTCTGGTGTTGTCGTGATCAGTCACGTGCCATGCCGTGAACTGACATCGTGGTGACCACCATTCGGCGCAATGCGGCACGTGGTGCGTGGTGATTCGCTGTGTGTGTCGTGTGTTTGTCACCAATCAAGACGCGGGACGATTGGGCGGTTGCCAGGAGACGGCTGGCCGCGGCCGACGAGACAAACAAGCGCTACCTTCACCTCGTCGACACGGCGCTCTTCGTGCTGTGCCTCGACCACACCTCCCCCTGCACGTCAGCCGAGGTATTGGGGGTTCCCTCTTGATTTCATTGCTGGCGTGTAGGTCGCGTCCAGTGCTATTTTCGTCGTTGTTTACATGTTGGATTTTGTCTTGTGGTCAGGTTCAGTGCTATTTAGCTGCTTTCATCACCTACTACCCGAGGTACTTCACAGACGTTCGTTTTCTATACACCGCCTGTTTCTTTGTTGTAGAACGATTGCTATTCCTCCTGCGCTTGAATCGGTTTCGGTATCCAGTGCACCTTTTTTCGTGCGTTTTCCCGGTACCGCCTCGCCGAGACACTATATATATTAGTCCGTTTGCGGCAAATGGCTACCTGGTCGCCTGACAAACCGGCACTCGCCGCTGGGCACACACACGACTCGCGAGCCCTCCTTCCGTCCCCCCTCAACACAGCACAGGCATAATCTCACCCTCCCCCATTCTGACACAAAAGAGGGCACGACCTTGTTATCACTTGGTTGTTGTCACAACGTGCGTGAGCTGAGTTTTGTGCCATGTTCGTGCGAACCCCGCCGTGCGGCCTCAGATCGCTGCTTCGTGCCTACACGGGAGCTACGCCTTGGAAGGAGACGTTCAGGTACTGCGCGCAGCACATCTTTAATTGGAAGTTTTTTTTTTTAGGCAGGGGTGTTTTTTTGTCTGGTTCCTGTTCAACGCGGGCGTCTCGAATAATCCGTTGTATTATTGTCGTTCCATGCCGCTTGCAATGTTTAGGTGGCAGTGAGTTGTGTGAAAGTTTGGGGGTTCTTACAAACGCCAAAGGAAGAGCTTTTGGATTTGTATCCCGTTCCTACCCCTCCCCTGTTCGTTCGACCGGGTCCTGCTCATGGTTGATCAGGTTGGCACCTACATGCGATCCCCCCTACCATCCCGACACTCTACCAGACTTGACCCCCCCTCCTTCCCAAGCGTTCACCTCGCTGTGCCCGCGCTCCCGTGTTCGTCGGTCGGCTAGGTTGGCACGTGCACGAACCGGTGGTACGACAAGCTGCAGCTGATCGTCTTCGAAAACGGCGCCGCGGGGGTGAACTTCGAGCATACCTGGGTCGATGGACACACGGTACTCCGCTTTGCAAGGTGTGTGTGTGTGTAATGTGTGCAAAGCGAGGCTCGTTTCTTTTCTGTCAGAATCAACCAAACAGCAGCAGACAAACAAAGTACAAAAACGTTTTTTGTTTCAAGTGACGTTTTGACTTGCTTGTTTGTTTTATTGGAATTACCATCACCGCCCTCCACTTCTCTAACTAGCGTCTTGAGACAGGTCCGTAGCACACCAATCGGTGTTGATTGGCTCGTTTTGAACAGCTGGTTGTATACATTTGTCAGTTCCAAGCCTTCTTCGGTGTACGTACATCGGATTCATGTTGGTGCAACTTTTATTTTGCCCATCTGAAACAGCTTAATTAGTGATGATGATCCCTGGGCAGTTTGCTTGTCTTGTTTAGGTTTATTTTTCACCGTTGGAAATGAAGTTTCTGGTCTTTGCCTTTTGCTCATTGCGGCGATGGTCATCTCTCTTGCCGTTTGAGGCAGGACGGGAGCAGTGGATCGAAGAGCTAATAGCCAAAACGTGCCAAGTCACGCGAAGTTAGTACTAACAGGAGTAGGTACAACAACGGCAGCTCCTGTTGTATACCATGCCGTGCGTCGCGAAGGCCGTTCAGTGCACAAAGGCCTCCCAATAAACACCATCCAATTCTCCCCTTTTACAAACCCTTGTCCCTCACACCCCCCAACGCCGATTTGGCCTCCTGGTGCATTTTTGTCTCTCCTCCTTCACGGTTAATGGTCCGCAGCGACGTGTTCGCCGACGTGATTTATCGGTTCGCCAACCACCTTACGTCTACCACGGGCGGCGCCCGCGGCCGTGAAGGCATGGGGGTAAGCGTGTGTGCGCGCATTCGTTTGTTTTCCGGGCTCTTTTCTTTCCGTCGTCGTCCTCCTTTGTCCGTAGTCTTGCACCCACCGCAGTGCGGATTGGCGTGGTCTGCTGCTCTCAAGTACTTCCAAACGCCGAGAAGGAAACAACTGTTTGTATTTTGCCCTGGAGCTCTTTAGAATTCCTTTTGATTTTACACCCCCTTGCGCACGCTTTCGACGTGGGATTGATTCCTGCAAAAACGCTTGAGAGCCACAATTTTTTTCCAAGAGTTGATTTGGTACGAGATCGGGGTAGGTCGGGCCCTCTTCAACGCCTTTCCTCGCCCATAATGCGTTGTCGTTGTTGTAGTTGGTGGCGGTGTTGGTGCTGGTGTATTTTTTTGTTTCCGACGTCCGTGACGATGGCGTTATTTGTTGTTGCCGGACCGGTAGGAGGTGTTCCCCCCGGACAAGCAGGCGTTCTCCCTTTGCGATGGGCGGAGCCCCGTCAAGATGGAGTGGCGACTGCCCAAGGACATGCGGAGGGATATCTACTTCGCCGAGACCAGAATATCGGACCTCATACGGCAGCACGACGTCCAAGCGCTGGAGTACGACACGTGAGTCCCCGAGCAATTTTTTAGTATTGCAGCTGAAAACAAGGAATACGATGTGATGCTTACACGTGCGCATTCATCCTGGTGTGTGGCTTCTTTAGTTAGCATCGACCGCGCTAGCTGGCTGACCAGTCTTACGGCGGGACCACAAACGCAAGTGCGCTTTCTGGTCGGTGGGCTCCCCCGTGGTCGGTGGGCTCCCCCGAAAGTGGCGCCGCGGAGGAGATCTGACTCCGACCGGGTACAGTCTCCGGATTAAGGCTTCTTGGGAATTGTTGCAAGGTACACAGACGCGGCGGTTGTCTTTCCCGAGATAAAAGGATACCTGCTGTAGGATCATAACCTCAAACACGGGTGTGCAAGTGGTCCAGGTGCGTAAGTTCTTTGCACTGAAGGGCTTCTATTCTGAAGTCTGATCGGGAAACACACTACCCACTCGCGGCATCCCAACCGCTTCGGCCGCTGCTTCTCCGCCGTGCGTGTTTGTTGCTGCTTGTCAGTTTCGGCAAGCGTTTCATCACGCAGAACAAGATGAGCCCGGACGCGTTCGTGCAGATGTCGATCGTGTACGGCTACTACGGCCTCTACGGAGATGTCGTCGCCGCCTACGAGCCGGTCTTGACCAAGGTCGGGTTCGCTGTGGTTCACGAGATGACACTTCTAGTCTAATGCGGATACGTTGGGAAGTCCCTGCCCCCTTCTAAGGAAACCCATGCGTCGGTAAAACAACAGCAGTGGCAAAGTGTTATAATGCGGCCGAATGCACAGGTGTGCACATCGGTTTTTAACGGAGGCCGACCGACAAGTGCAAGGAAAGCTCTCGACGAGATCTTTCGTAAAATCACCCCGTTTTCGGCGTTTGCAGCCTCTTTGTTGTGGACAACCGACCTTTTTTTAAGTATCGAACGCACACCTGTATATTCTTCGCGCACACTGCCCTATGTTGCACTTTTGGCGTTTTTGTTTTTTTGGGGGGGGTGTATCGTGTTCGCGTTTCGTTCTTTTTATTTCGGCAAGCGTGCTTTACAGATGATCGTTCGGTGGTATCGACAGTTGGAACCACGCCTCACGTTTATCATGTGTCTCGACCCTGCTTCCGGCCTACAGGCGTTTCTGAAGGGCAGAACGGAGGCGCTGCGGACGGTTACAGCGGAGGTCAAGGCCTTCTTGGAGGCGTTCTCCAACCCGGACACTTCCACGGTGCGTTCGGGTTGAGGATCTGGTTCGGGTTGGGATTTGGGGGTCGAGAGAAGGGGGCTAGGGGTAGGAGCCTAAGGGACAATTCCAGAACTAGGAGTGCAAGAACTAGGAGGGCAAGAGTTAGAGCAAGGTTTAGGAGGTCACTCAAGTAGGACGGGTGCGGTAACCTCGTTACCCCTCCTTTGCTTCGGTGCATTCTCGCTTCTGGCGCTGCCGACAGCTATTGTAGCCCCCCCATCCCCTGTCCGTACCCTCTGTTCGAAGAGGGGCCTGACAAAAGCCAGAGACAACCGCGAACCTGCGTGTTGTCGACAGGGTGGTTTCTTGTATCGCCCACCCTCCCCTCTTGGCCTTAGCTAGTACATCGTGGCCCTTTTTCGTCTGGTTGTATCTCAGGGGTCTAATCGCTTCTCCCTCGTTAGCCTGTTCCAATCGTAGCTTGCCGCTCCGCTCCTCCCTCCTGGACACATTGTCCAGGTATGGAGGCGTATGCGTAACACACCCATATCCTTTGTGTTCGAACGTCACCAGCAACTGAGAAGATTGGATGATAGCACGAAGAAAATGTTCAGAATAGCCTGCCCCGGAGATGAATCAATTTTGTTTTGTTTCTCCGTGTACGGCAGCATACTCGGTCTTGTCATCCAGCTTCGGCTGCTACTCGAGTCTCTTGTCTAAATCCTCCCGCTAACTAGTGCTTGTCTTAATGGCTGTGTGTTGTTTGTGTGCCTCTGCCTCCGTCAGCCACAGACACCTCCACCTCCCACCCTTGCTCAGTCCTGTCTATCGCGCCTCTGTCCGTTTGCTTTCCCCGTCGCCGTGCCGCCGTTCCCTCTGCTGTTGTGCCGCACGTGTCGCCTCACACGCGTCGCCTCGCGTCTCTTCGTCGGAGCTAACAGAAGCGCAAGATGCTGTCCTTGAGGACCGCCATCGTGTCGCACGGCCGCCTCGTCAAGCTCGCGGCCAAGGTGATGAGCGGCGACGGCATTGTTATATATTTGTTGTTTATTTCCGTTGTTGTTGTTGTTGTTGTTGTTGTCGTCGCGGTTGTTGGCAGGTTGTGTTTTCGCTGTGCGACGACACCTCCACTCCAGAACCTACCGAACAACAACGAATATTCAACGGCCTTTTCGTCGCCAAGTGTTTCCCGGACCATCGTTCTGGGATCAATCATGAGATCCACGTTCGAAAAAGACGATTTTTTTCTCTTAATCCATGCGGCAAATGATCGTCGTCCGAAACCTCCTCCTGTCCTAACACCGGCCGCAGGGGAAGGGGGTCGACAGACACTTGTTCGCGCTCCTGTGCATGGCCAAGAAGAAGGCGGAGGAAGCGACAGCAGAAGCGACAGCAGCAAAGGAGGCGGTTCCGAACGGAGGGGACAGTAATGGAACCACCCCCCCGTCTCCTCCCTCCCAGATCCCGGCGCTGTTCGAGGACGAGGCTTGGCGGGTGCTTAACCACGTCATCCTGTCCACGAGGTTCGTATGTGGTGTGACAAACATGATCCGGTATGCCATCACAGTCGAGAAACCGACCAACTCTATGTGACAGGTTGCCTACTGGGGTTGCAGGACCTACCTCCCGATTGTTTCTATTTACGCCAGAGTCTGCATTAATCGAACGAAATTTGAGGTATTGAGTGCCGAAACAAGAAAAGAACCGACCATGTATGCTTAGTTTCGTTTTGTACACAGCGGTTTTGCTTCCAAATTTCCAAATTTCATTCCGACTGTCCGGATTTCCAAATTTTGTCCAATTTTTTCGGTGCCAATAGTTTCCAATTTTTCAACTTTCCTATTTTTTCCCCCGGCCGAAATCGAGGTTCAACGGTCTACGGATTTGGCAATTTGGCAATTTGGGAGCGAAAGAGCTGCTGTAGAAAACGGCCCTTACCTACCTGTGTTTTTTGTGGTCTGTTTCCTCTATCGCACGCGCTCACTTCTTCGTTATCTTTTTGTCCCGGTTGCTCTCGAACCTTGGCGACGTCGAATCTACTCCAGCAATTGTGGCAACCCGTCGCTGCGGCTCTTCGGCTTCGGGCCGGTCGTCCGGGATGGTTTCGGCGTTGGCTACATCATCAAAGGTATTGAGAACCGTTACAACTTGTTCTCGGTTTTCAGCTGTTGTTGTTGTTGTTGTTGTTGTTGTTGTTCACTTGTTGGTTGTTGTTGCTGCTGTTTTCTTGACATGACGAAATATTCTGACCTCCATCCAATATCTCCGCTTTTCCGTTTCCCGTTTTCTCGAAGGCAAAGAACTGTGTTTCTGTCCCCACAGACGCACCCGTAGCAAATAGGAAGAAAAATAACAACAGAGACAAAGTTTCGACAGCGACGACGTGACAACAGGCAAAACCCCCGCACTTGCCACAATTTTTGACGGCCTCAATAGAAAGCCGCTGACGAGAACCATTGCCGATACACACGGTTAATGTTATTTTGTTTCCGGCACAGTTTCCCCCCCTAAACGCCCGAAAACCCGAGGAGACACCTGATTCAACCGTAAACACGTTCAAAAACGAGATTCCCCCCCCCCCCCCCCCCCCC